GGCCACATAATATGAGAATTCCTAATGGTGAGTATGGATTTGTACTAAATTTCTACAGAAAATTTTGACAAGTGACAACTCTGTCATGACCATAGGAGAAATAGTTAGACTTGCTACTGTGAAGGTATACAATAGGTAAGCGGTGAAGATATCAGCAGTGAAATTGTGTTTCTGAGAGCAATCAAGGGTACTGGAATGACGACCATAGGAGATGGGAGTTTTAATCCCAACATAGGCAAAAAAGCTAAGTGCCAATGTTTACATCTACCTGAGCCCTGGGAAAAGTTATGGGGTACCTATATTGGCGGGAGGATGCAAGTACTTGGTGGAAACAGTTATGGAACACGTACGTTAGCCCAGATACCAATGTTACATTTTAAAGAAATTGCTCTCAAGGACTGCAATGTACTTCAACCTGCTTGAAAATGTTGTCGGCAACATGAGGAGTTATATGAAAAATATACATGTAGTTTAAGCTCAAGCTTCTAGAATAGACACCAGACCAAGAGTCTTTCCGTCAAAAAGTTTGATCCCCCAAAATGTTTACAGTGCAATGAAAAGTGTTGTTTTTGTGTTTTGGCCAAGAATTGAAGGTTTAAAGAACAGAATAAGAACTTCCTGGAAAGTATGGCTTAAGTTTTGGTGGTGACAGAAAACCATCAGCAGCAAAGAATGTTTTGAACAAATGAAAATCAAAAGGCATCTCCATAGAAGATGATGAGCATAAAGCTTATGGCCTTAGTCTTCATCCATTATCCGCTAACAATTGTCATAATTCAGCTCCTTGTTCCAATTTACCACCCAAAAATACGAAGTCTCCATTCACAAAGCAAACTAAATCAAGGAGACGGAAGCAGACTTGCGGAAATACACCACATGAAAAAAGGACAATCAGAACTCAGAAGATTATGGAGGCACCAGTACAAATCAACAAAAAGCATTACTAGATAAATACAAATGCTAGAGAAGAAGATAGCACACAGAACAAGAATGATTTTCATGTCCAAAAGAACATGAACACAGGAGAAGTACAAAAATGAGACCTGTCCTTGATCAATAGTCAGGAAATCCCGATGTGTTTCTTCAGGCTTCTTTTCTGCAAGAACAACTGTAATAAGAATGTTTAATTTCAGAAAAAAGATCAAACTCAACAGATATATAACTAAATAAAAATTCGAGAGCCGGTACCATTGACAGGCATCATCTTTTTACGAGGTGGTGCCCTGAGGCCAAGAACCCATATAAAATCATTAGCAGAAGAATCATTTCCTCTCTTTTTTTTCATTTTTGTTGCTTTCTTTCAACAAGAGTTCTTCTGTTTTCAGGTGATACTAGAAAATCTGTAGTCTTTAGAGGGGTTTTACTAATGCAGCTTATTATTGATTTTCCTAATTAAGCACATAATTCAAATAATCCCCAAATTGGAAAAACTTTGACTACTTTTTATAGACATAATCCTACTCATAGGCATTTACTAAGTGCAATCCAAACTTTAGGATTCAACGAATCATTTTTTTTTTTTCGATAACCGAGAAATCCGTTTGTGACCTGCCCTTTGGACCAATCACAACCTTCTAAACTCGGTGGATAATGGGCCCGCCCTTCTACCCTTCTCCACTTAAATATCGGGCTTCACTTTGCATGGTGTGGGCTTGAACCTGCGACCTAAGCCACAAATCCTCCACCTTTTGCCACTTGAGCTATGCCTTGGGGGCTTCAACGAATCATGTTTGATCAACATGTTAGTACTCAAATTCAAAGGTCGACTCTCCTCACCCTCTATCCCCAACCCGCTACCAAGACAAAAGAAAACAAATAAGAAGCATCTAATCAAGGATATAGAGACATCTTTTTAAGGTTTATGCCAAACATTAAGAGCACCTCAAAAGGCAGGCACTCTTCGGCAAGTGTCAACAATTTTAATACATAAGACATTAGATGACAATGAGAACACATTTCAATTCTCAGATACAGTCAAATTTGATAAAGCAATGAAGTTAACACGGGATGCAAAAATAACCAAAATTCAATAATAGAACTAATGTAATTTTGTCTAGAGATTCTGTATCAAAATATGTAAATAAGTAAATAAATAGCCATAACAGTTCAAACATAAGTTGGAACCAGTTAATACCTTTCAATATTTTCCCCTAATTGTAGAACTCACCTTGATTTTCATACGCATCTCAACAACAACTGAACAGTACCCAAAATATCGTTGTTTCATTCTGCCAAAAAAAAGGGAGAAAGCTTTTCAATTTATCTGAAGAAGTACTAATTTCAGTCCAAATTATTTAATTTCTTTTTTTTAAAAAAACAAAGTACATGATGAAGAATTATGGTTTTTCTATTTCCAATCTTCTTATAATCAAAAAGCAAAAACTAAAAGCTGACACAAGTTCTATAAAATTAAAGATTTTGAAGACACATGACTCATGTGAAACAAATCTCAGGAAAAAAAAATCAAAATAAACATATATACAACTGAATAAAAATTGAATTGTCAGTACCATTGACACCGGATTTCATCTTTCTAGGCTGTTGAGGCCTTATATAACTTCTTGATAGAGAAGGTGCCTCAAGGTCAAGCACCGATGCACACTGATGGCCTTACATAACTTATTTTTTTTAGACTATAAGTGTACCATGCTTCCTCTTTTTCTTTTTTTTTGGAACTGGTAAGTTTGTATTCTTCAGCATTAAGGATATGCTGGCCACCACCAAAAAGTTAAACTACAGACTCCCTATCAGATCTATAATCTGTTCAGTATCTTCTATACATAGCTGTTTACACCAAAAAAAGTAGAGATACAATACAATTCCATTAGACTTTATGAATGGAATTGGACCTATCTTCGAAACATCTGGCATTTCTCTCCCTCCATACTGAGCACCATATACATGAGGGAATCAATCTCCACCATCTCTTTTGGCTCTTACTTCCCCCTCTTCTAATCCAACAACTAAGAAGGTCTGTTGTATGCTCAGGCATGGCCCAGCTATAGCCAGTAATGTTGAGAAACAAATTCCACAACTGAGCAGTGTACTTGCAATGCAAAAAAAGGTGCTTGTTTGTCTCCTCGGTCACCATAAACAGAAAACACCTAGGAACCAATTGTATTCTCTTCCTCTGTAGCACTTCTTGGGTTAGATAGGCCATTTAGATAACCAACCAAGTGTAACTTATGTTCTTTCCCATTTTTGTTGTGTGTTTTTCAACAAGAGACTATGCCTCTTAACGTCTTATCTTGGGTTAAGAGAGCCATGTTGAATGATTACTAATGTTTAGTCTTTAGAGGGGTTTTAGAGGGCAATCCAATTACTAGATTACATAGGGTAAAAGTAATAAATGAAACCAATTTGTATTCCTACTACAACTAGTTTTCCTAACTCTTGAGTGTCGCACATCAGCTAAGTATAGAGATGGGAGATTTGATCTCCTTATAAGGAGTTGGACACTTATCACCTTATAAACTAACTTTTCGGGTTGAGTTAGGTCCAAGATCCATTTTTTACCTGGTATAAGAACAAGACCCATCCCAATTCATGGTTAACCCATGTTGGGTCCCCATATTAAATTGTTCATACACCAAATGTCCAGCCCTGAGCATGTAGGGGATGTTGAGTGTCCCACATCAACTAGGGATGGGAGATTTGGTCTCCTTATCTAGACTTGGACATTCATCACCCTATAATCTAGCTTTTGTGGTCGAGTTAGGCCCAAGATCCATTTATTTACACTAACTAAAAACAAACTTCAAATAAGGTCCAAATTGAAAAATCCTTGACTATTTCTTTTTACATACATAATCCGACTCATAGGCATTAATAAATCACAATCCAATCTTTAATGTTCAACGGATCATGTTTGATCAACATGGTGGTACCCAAACTTTAAGGTCGAACCCCCTCACGCTCTATCCCCAACCCACTACCAAGACAAAAGAAAACAAGAAAGACTTATCTAATCAAGGACTATAGTGACATCTTAATAAGGTTTATGCCTACATTGTTGAAACATCAAGAGCATAATTAAAAGCAAACACTCTTCAAGTGTCAACAATTTTAATACACAAAACATTAAGCGACAATGAGAATACAACTGAATTCCCAGACAATTTTACACAAGTTAAAATAATGGAGTTATCAGGTGATGCATGAGATTACCAAAATAAAGAAGTAGAACTAATGTAATTAAGTTTATAAATTTTGTTCAACAACAACATATCCAATGTAATCCCACAAAGTGGAGTACGGGGAGGGTTACGTGTACACAAATCTTATCTCTATGGTGTTGTTTTCATTAGACCCAGATCAAGGAAGTCAATAAATTTAGTATCAAAATATATAACTAAATAAATAACCATAATAGTCCAAACATAAGTGGAAACCAATTAATACCTTTCAAAATTCTGCTTCACCCTTAACATAGGTCTCGGGAGCTGGATATGGAGAAAATTCTGTTGGGAGCGCCCGAATGAACCGTTGCAGTGGACGATCCAGATTTAATCGGGGCACCAACGTGGACTTCAAACACTAGGTGAAAAGCCAAAAAAAAATACCTTTCAATGTTTTCCTACTGATTTCCATCCATAAAACAATACCCAAGGAAGAATGGTGGTTTTTTAATTTCCACCATGTAAGACCCAAATAAGGCAAATTGAGCCAAACCTGAGGAAGAGAATGTGATTGCTTACTTGGTTTTTTCTTTTTTTTTGGTTCCACCTAGTGTTCGATATCCACATTGAAACCCTCAGATGATTCAAAGGCTTGCCAGGAACCCATTAGTATTTCTCAACTTTCTTCCATCCTCTCTTGCTAAATTCTCTCACAAAAACCCTTCTGTTATCATTTTAATGTAAATTATTGATGTTACTAAAATACCTTTGAAATGTTCCTGGAGTTGAGGGTAAATAATTTTAAATTAAAATTTCTTTTTTAATTTATCAAAATATTTTCTAGTTTTATGGTGATTTAGAGTGTTATATGAGATATTGAAATTAAAGAGTCATCAAATTAGAGATTAAAATCACACATTTCTGGTCTAGATAGATGACTGAAAGAAATCGAAGGTTGGAAAGTGAATCATCAATAGGGCCTGAAACTCGACAACCACGCAAGCTCAAGGCCGTCAACTCGTTCCTCTGAGCTGAAAGGCCAACACCATCAAGGTAAAGCTCTCTAAGTTCTGTCAAGTTCTCAATAAAATCAAGACTCTCAAATTTAAGTGGCTGGAGAAGAGTTGAGAGATCAAGAGTAACTAGCCTGGTTAATCTTGATAACGTCATAGGAATTTGCCCCAAAAAACCAGCATTTGATAAATTCAGGTACTTCAAGTTGACTAAATTGTATATACCAACGTCGAACCTGTTGTAAGCCAAATTTAGCTTCTCAAGATACTCAAAACTTAAAAGAGCACTTGAATTCTCAACTCCACTAGAAATCAACTCATTATCTAGTTCCAAGGCAATCACATGACCATAGAGATCACATTTCACCCCATCCCAATCACAACATTCACTTGTGTTGTCGTTCCAACGCGTCAACTTGGTTGAAAAACTAGAATCATATTGGAGGCTGCCTTTCAATTGCAGCAACAATGACTTTTGATCATCAAGACATCTAGAGGAAACAAAGAAAATCTCATTTCGTGATAAGATTTGAAACAAAAGAATCAAGAAAAGACAGAAAGTGTAGAGTTCTCATTTTCATTTATGCAACTTTTGTTAAGGTGATAGACTCAAGTAGTATGAAGTTAGGAAGAACTTATAAAAGGAAAAGAAAATATTTACCAATGTTTAATGTTAGTCTTTTTTGGTTCATTCAGTGGAAGACTTAGAAGTTTTTCACCAAATATATTTATTCAATGTGGAAAAAGTTTATCAAGGCCATGATTTCTTGCATTTTAGTTGACTGGGACTTTTATGTATTTTTATTGTTTTAGCTGACTCATATGCACCACTAGGGGTGTTCATAGTTTTGGTAAAAACCAATTCAAATTAGTGGATCAACTCGGCACGAATTCAAGTTAATAGGATCAACGTTGAGCTTCGAATACTACATGATTAAATAAAAAATTGAAAAGGCCTAATTAACTCTCTATTCGACTATCAAGGGTGGAACTCGGCTACTTTGACTCAAAACTCTAAATTTGTAGAAAGAAACTCATTAATATATACAAACTATATTAATTTAAAACTTAATAACTTAAAAGAAATAGAATTCCAAACCCATAAATTTTAAATTTCGACTTCTACAAGGTTACCATCGATGGGGTATAGGAGAACGATGATATATTTTGATTGGAATGTATAAATATCTGAAGAGATTGATTAGATTTCTCCTCTCACCACTAAAGGAATACTATGTTCTTCTTAATTCACCACCAATCAGTTTTCAGTTTTTTTAGTTGACTACAGTACGAGTTTAAAATTTTAAAAACTATTTTTGAATTTTGTGATCTTAAATTAAAAATAAACACAGTATACTAAAATATATTTGATCTTAAATAGTTCATGTAGAATGTTAAAAGTTATACATTTATTTGAAATTGTTAAAAGTTTTACATGGAAAATCGATTATTAATTCATTACAAACATTATCTAAGCTATATGACAATCTTCAAAGGAGATTGATCAGCAAAAATATATGAGAACTCTATTGTATTATTCGCATACAACAACACAATAGCATCCACAATGCTAGTAAATTCTACCGCCTATATTACAAGAAGGCTAAATGAATATACTGAAAGAACAAAGGCAAACGATAAACTAGAAATTACTAGTAGATCAAACTTATATTCACAAGGGAATAGATAACATAGAGCTTGAAGTTTTAAACTACTACTGGAGTAAAACCTACCTCAGACAACTTACCAGTAACCAGGAAAAAAGAAGTGAACTAAAACAACTAATATACAAGACAACCTTGTCGCTAATGACGAAAAAACACAAAGTCATGGACCACTAAGTTTACAGTGTGCCAACTGGATTCATACAACAAACCCAGTATAGTACACAAAACATGCCTAGGGACTAAGGCTGCTCGTAAATATTCTTCTATTGATCTACATGTCATGAACACAGCTAAGCACCAATTCATTCATCTGCGTCGTACATGAGCTTTGCTATCACTCTGTATCCTATCCGCATACATTGGCAGTCGAATGATCTCATAAATCTCATTCAACACCACTTCTTCAGTGATGTTGTCGGTAATACTTCTCATCACCTGAATTTTTGTACATGAACCATAATTAGAGTCTAATAGGGACCATAATCTAACTAAAAGATGAGAAAATATGGAAAAGGTTCTAATAAACCACAAGTCTACAAATCAACAAAGCAACTGCATTAGTTTAGTATGTGTCATTATAGAAACACCTTTCTGTACGTGTTGTAATCATTCGGAGTTCCTTTGTCGACTCTGGTCCTCATCCATATCCATTTTTGGTTATCAGTGTCAAAAGAGCACTCTATTATTTTACCGGAGTAAGCTGATGGATCAGAACCATCTGAAACATGAAAGGACCCAACATTTCAGGAAATGCACCAAAGGCCAAATACCAAGAGAATCAGGGGAAAAAACAAAAGAACACAAAAGTTCACGGGACACAAATAAAGCACAAGAGAACTGCTTAGATATGCAACACTATAGGACAACAGATTAGACATGTGGCTGTATGTCACTTAACCACATAGAGCATAAGACACTTCTTTTTCTCCCCAACTCTATCTCCGACCTGAAAGCCTCTAATCCATCTGTTTTGGGTTGCAATCCTCATCATACAATCAAAGCCTTCCATTGCCAAAATGAATAAGAAAGGGGAGAGAGAATCACCCTGTCGCAGCCCTCCTGCTGATTCAAAAAAGCCCGTGGGTTCCCCATCACAAGGACAGAAAACTTGTCTGTTTTTATACATACCTCAATCCACTTCATCCATTTGCTACCAAATCCCATTTGTCTGAGAGTATTCAGAAGGAAAGACCAATTCACATTGTGACAATCCAAATAATCCAAACTTACACGTCTGACCTTTTTTTAACCTTAGCAACTGATCCAATTTCAAGTTGTGGAAAATCCAAATTCAATTTACTAAGCGTTAACAGAGCAAAAAATAAAAGCAAGAATATGTATCCTTTTTTTTTTCTTTTTTGGCAAAGAAGAATATGCATCTTGAACTTACAAGAGAGTATCAGTTGTGAAATAGCAACACTGCCTTAAGTTTTTAGTCACAGCAAGAAGTACCTCTAGAATTTTTATCCATACTCTTACTACTCCCTCAGTAGTCAGTTCCTTTTTACTTGTCCCTGGTAAAAATAGATTTTCCTTTTTACTTGTCGCAAATCAAGAGATTTATTATTTTTCTTCAAAGACTACCCTTATCATTAAGTAACTACGTAAAGTACTACTAGTCACACTTAGATTTTCAAAGCATAATTAAAAATGTTAATTTAGTAAAATAGACCCCAAGGTGCTAAGTCAACATGGGCCAAGTAAAAAGGAACGGAGGGACTACTACTTAGCACCTCACAAACACCCGGAAAGGAATCTTGACAGTTTCAAGAGGAGTGTGAAATAGCATCCTTAACTTTTTAGATCATTCTCGAGTGAAGTTTAATAACTCCATCAAATAATAACACTGCATCCAATTCGAATTTCTGACCTGGGAAAACAACTCTACTCCCCTCCATTAGTTTCTTCTTCCCTCGTTCATGTAGATAAAGAAATTCACGATCATCGACCACCTGCCATATGATCAGAGAAAATCACACTTAATTCCAATAGGAGAGCATGAAACATGATCCACTTCACAAGGCTATTCTGCCTTGTTGAAGGATGAGAGCATCAATCTAAAACCTTAAGCTATTAGAGAAAACAACACTTTTGATAACTTAAATTGTCTCAATACATCCCCTAATGTGCGGGTCTGATTCTTTTTCATGAACCAAGCATGTGGAAACTCTTTTTGATAATGGGTGACAGCGAGACTAGAACTAAGGACCACTACCTGATTTAATATTATGTTAAGTGTGTGATCATTTCGCCTAAAAACTAAAGCGGTTCATTTTATTAACTTAACTATCTCAACACACTTATAGCATGGAAATAAATGATATTGACAGGTAAGGTGCAGGAGCATAAAAACAACAAGAAACCAAAAGTATAAGGAGGAAACAGCAACAACTCTATTCACTAGGAGAGCAGAATACAACCTCAAACAGAAAGTCGACCGAGTTCATTTCAGGGTATTTCCACTTCAAGAGACCCTCATGCGTGCGAGGAACATAAGGATCATCCCAACCCTAACACAGAAAGAAAACAGTGGCTCAGTATCCAGAACCTAAATTCATCTGTATGATTATGCATCTCCGTCACTGTTAGCCATAAACATGTCATTTGCAATAACATGCAAGAGGATGAGCTACTAACTCTACTTCTCTGCAACATAACAGTAAACATAGATAAAGGTTCGAAACCACTTCCACAGTGAGTTTTCCAACATAGCAATCAAAACATACATGCCATATAATTTGGAAACATCTTAAGTGATGTAAGAAATTAACTCCTCAGGAGAAAGTCCAATACAACACTAGAACAAGAAGCAATTCAGTATAGGTACTCTTTAGCACCTGAAAAATAAGACCATCAGCTTCATGTGAAAGCTTTGGGATAAATTCTTTGAGAAGTTTTGTGACAGTAGAGAGCAGAAAAAAATCCTTCCTCCTCACCTGATAAACATTGAGAGATCAGCAGCCACTTTAGGTAGAACAAATAATACTAGAAATTAACTATAAGTTATCTTATGACAATATATTCCATTTTGACGAAACATACCCTGAAAGGCTCCAACTCATATCTATAGTAAGGGTTTCTACTCTGGTATATATGTTGACGTTCATGATTCCTTGGACCAATCACTTCTTTGTCGATCATTCTCCACCGTTCATAAAAGGGTCGCTGAAATTATAGAACAAAGAATGAGCAACAACAATGTACAGATAATATTCGAAGAGAACCAAAAGACCCCCAAGCGTATAACTAACATAAATTTTTCAAGAAGAAAAGTGAAGTGGTTTCGTATCGAAGAATCCAACCTCAATGACAGACACCTGGTTCAAAGCCATCATATCATAAATTAGGTATCTCCTTTCCTGCTTCTGTGTGTCAGGCAAAGTATCAATTACCATCTCTCCATCAAGTAAAGTGAAGTGGTGGGTCTTTTCGGCTAAACCCTGGGAGAAGATATGAGAATTTCATATGATAAATCATATGTACAGATAATTTCCAACAGTGAGACATAAAAGGGAAAAGAAAAGATCAGAACATCCTAATAGCAAACTGGATATTAGCATACTTCATTAGTGTGTCTGCAAGGAAATCTCATCTGAACCCTCCGGAAGTTGAAATGTCTATCAATTAAGAAACAACCATCCATCATGATCAGCATCATATACCGTGTCCCATCAGCCTTCCAAGTGGCATAGTAGTAACGCTGCCTTAATAACTGCAAGTTTTCCCTGCGCATCATGACAACAATTACCTTGGATGAATCTTAATTTATGGGTTTTCACCTTCCATGCTTTGTCTGGGATCCTACCATGGTTTGTAAGGCAACTAGCCAGTTTAATAAATAAACAATTGGTTTGTCAGAGAATATATTAATATCCATGTCCGAGTCCATATGAGGTTCAAGTATGAAGATACAATAAGGTTATCATCCATGAGTTAAATTTGTACAAGATATCTAAAAAAATACATTAACTACTCAGAACAGTTGATGGACAAGTTATCGTGCAGAATAAAACAATATTAGCAGAACAAAAAAAACAAAACAAACTTATTTCATGCACTGCAAGCATAATATAGCTAGAAAAATACTCATTCTGCAATGTGTAACCTTCAAAGTTCTAACCATGTTTGCTGCACAAGACAAAATAGGCACACTGCTGCACAACACAAGTTGCCCAGAGGCTTCAGGAACTAGTTCGGTTCAGTGTTGGTCACCATGTAAAGAATGTGAACTGAAAAGATAGAAGAAAATGGTCTCTGAAGATTCAGAACCTTCCGTGAAGGTCGACTAGCTAAGGCACATATAAACACACACAAGCACTCAACCCCCCCCCCCCCTCTCTCCGGTCCCTGTGGAGGGAGGCCCTTCGATGAGCCACAAACATCCACAAGAATAAAAAGATGTGCCTTTCTGCCTATTTGGCAGGTCACAAGAATCA